TTGCCAAAACTCTAAACAATATGTGCTTATTTGCATTTTTTTACAATAAAAAGGAATGTAGATATTGATATGTCACATTCAATCAAGCTCTTTTAATCAGTATATACAAATGTTGCTAGAGTAAATTAGAAATATGGAAATTGCATTTTAACACACACAGAAAAAAAAGCCAAAATTACTTGTGTTTTTTAGTAAATACAAACAAACAGAAGCTGTGTACTTAAGGAGTTAAGAATGCAGTATCAATGAATTTTCAATTACATATTATCGTGTCGGATCGGAAATCCCATATATATCCTATAATGCACCTACTGCTTTTTTAACTTACACTGGATCCCTCTTTGCCTCCTGAAACGCCAAATATATGGAATCGAATGCACATGTGTTTTGAGTGCCGCACACACATTAGGCCTTCCCCCTAGGAAAACATTGATTCCATGTTTTTTATCCGGATTTTCAAGACACTTGATGTCCTTATACAAAGTGCTAGGATGTCCAGAGTCATTTCACAGAGTTAAGCTTTGTGCAAGACCAGAAAGAGAAGAGTCAACCTTATTCGAGCAATGTAAGCATTGAAATTTTGCTAAAACTACAATATTTTTACTTGTTGGGTTAAGCAAACAGGGTCACTGCATCCAGACCCTTTCAGTGAGATTAAGTGGTCTAGGTGCCTATAGGGTCCCATTACTTTTTACATGTTTCAATATAATGTTACTAATATAATTATAATTAGAAGTATTATTAGTATTGTGTTTGCCTTTAAAATATTCAAGAGTGTTGTACAATTATACAATGGGGAAAATATCACAGCACGTCATTGACGTGAAGAGATCTCTTCTCAAAAAAACTTATCAGGGTTATTCACTAAAGTTAGAATTTCAAGGGAATTCAAAGATAATTTCTAATTCAAGACCAGACTAACCAAACTAAATTAGGAGCTCATTTTGAGAAATTTTAGTTTTGCTATTTTGACCTTAAAGTTGAAATTCATGTTGATTTCACCTTGTATTCTCACTTAGTATATAACCAATGGATACGTTTTCAGATTATTGATAATATTTTTTAGGTCCTTTCTTTACCATTTTTTTTTTTCATGAAAAAGGAGATCACTAGTTGAAAAAGTTATCACAAAATTGTAAAATAAAACACCAATTTTGTGTGTAGATTTCTTTTCACAGAGCGATAAACATCAAGTTCAGTACATTTATTCATATTATTTATTTGCTTTAATTTATGGCAAATGTCCTAATTTATTTTTATGAGCGTCGTGTACTTCAGTTCTACAAACTACTGTGCCATCCATGCACCAAAGTATAGATTCAGTGATGAGATGTGCAGATGCAGATCCCAGCTTTGAAATTCTTAATACTTGGAGTTTGGTAATTAGTTTATAGTCCATTATAAAAAAGCCTATAAGTGACTGTTCAATTGACATACACTACTATAAAGAAGAAAATATACAAAGACAGATTAAGCTTTACAATTAAATGTATGAGATTACTACATGTGCTATTCTGTATATTTTACATCATTTTGTAAAGAATTTTTTTTCACACTACATAATTTATAAAAAGCTGGTCTTCAGAAAGAAAGTGCTTAGGGTAAACTAGTTCCTAAGTTCAAACAATAATATTTTGAATAGAATGATATATTAGAAAACAATTCAAAACAAAACAATTGCAAGTATTACTATCACTGTCACGATATGCAAAAACAAAAAAAGAAACATAAATTGGCATGTGTTCACATAGAATTAATGTTCATGAATCTTTAGTATTAACAAATACATTTCTATTCTTTTTACAGTGCTACTATGAAGACTTATGTAAACATTCTTATTTTTATTTTTGCTATTGAAAAGATAAACAAAGATATCAATATTTTACCAAATATCACATTGGGATACCATTTATTAGATTCATGCTCAGACACAAGTAAAGCTGTGAAAAGTGTTCTACAGATTTTATCTGGACCCGACAAGACAGTTCCTAATTATTACTGTAGCGATTATAACAAAGTGGCTGGTGTTATTGGTGATCATGTTTCAACGACAACTCTTGCCATAGCAGAAATACTGGGGATGTATGGATATTCTCAGGTGAGTGAACCTATGGCATCATCTTCAACTTTCAAAGAGCTCTTACTTGTCCTTTAATGATACAATGTTGTTTAGAAAGCAAAATGCAACAATTACATACTATGCAAAAACAAATCAGCTATATGTGTTAATTTTATTTCTGTAACAAAATTGTAACGGAGCTCCTAGTACTCCAACCTAGTACCTCCGTTGATGTATGCTCCTAGTGCTTCCTGAGGACTCCAAGCACTCCACTTGACACCATCAGCACTGCAGACCGAACCTCTCTTCCTGCAGAGAGCGACGCTGGAACAAGCTCTTAAAAGAGTGCAGTGATTATAGCTAGGGGAGTATGTAGAGTATAGCAATCCCCCAGTGTAGATGCAGTCGTATCCCCCCAATCATGAGACGAGGCTCTATGTTGAGGGTCAAACAGGAACAGGCAGAGCTGTGGTTTTATTGTTCTTATATACACATTTTTTTACACAATAGTACCACCCACAGGGTTTTGTGGAACAGCCAATCAAACACGTAATATACAGTAAAACACTCCCATTCATTCCCACAAAATCCTCCCCCCTGCCTGTGATATAATTACTGAACACAATGGGTTAATGTAATTATCACAGGCAGGAAAAACATACTTTTTACATATTTACTATAACTTTAAAACTATGCATTCAATCTTCATAAAAAGCACATATTCTTACTCAGCAGCACATTTTCCTGCCCAAAACAGTTCCATAGATTTGGGCTGTGCGGTCGGTCTATTTTACACTGAAATCGCCGAACAGGACTTAGTCTCTGTGGCTGAAAACTCAGTGGAGGACAAGGTAAGGGTCAACGGTGTTCGTGGAAATGTGTAGCCGATTTCAGTTCAATGAATTTGGCTGCACACACCGCTAACCGCGTTCGAATGAATAAAGATGGCCCAGCGGTCGGCAATTTACCTACAGCAGGCTCCCAGCCTGGAGGTAAATTAGCCACACGCTTCCACTTCTGGGTGGTCCGACTATGCAATACTTGGTTCAGTAAGCCTCATTTACTGAACCAAGTGGGAGAAAGTCACAAACAAAGTATCTTTGGGGTCTGGGGACACAGTCTTAAAGGGGCACTGTTCACAAAAGTCTGAATATTTCCCCAGATGGTTCTTAAAGGGCTGTACACACCAGGGCCATAGTCAAGAGGGAGGAGGCTGGCAAATAGGCTTCTCCACAACCCAGGAAAGCAGGGCAATTTGTCATATAAAAAACAGTGACAAAAAGCCTTTTGTCACAAAAATAATTTTGCTTTGTTATTATTTATTTAAAACATATGTATAATGTTTCTGTTGTGCATGTATGTTGTTCTGGTGTCTATATCATCAAGGACCACCCAGAACTGGCTCAACTCCCAACAAGCCAAGTCCCCGGAGGAGATCACCCAGCTCTTTTTATAATGGTCTCCCCAACAAAGTGCAAGAATGGTTGAGAGACAGACAGCCCAAGACCCTCACCGAGGCAGCGCAGCGGGCTGATGAATATGTAGATATCCAGTAGCCCTGGCGCCCAATTGCCCCTGCTCAACACCGACCTCCCCTATGCCCTACAGCCCCAGCCACCACTTTGAGGCGCACCAGCAGCGGGTCCCCACAAGAGGAGGATGGCACAGCCAGCCTCCCCCTGCTTCCACTGCCGCCAGCCTGGCCACTACAAGACAGAATGCCCTCAGCTAAATAACCCCAGCTGGTCTCGCCCGGTGGTCAGACAGACCCCAAGGGCTGCTGCCCACTCCTGTCAAATTGTCCCCACGTGAAGATGCCTATCACCTATCTCCCAGTGAAGACTTGGGCATAGTAAATTATCTTGAATTGCTTTCCTAAAGCTGCAGTAATTATGTGCACAATATTATTGCCAAAACTCTAAAAAATATGTGCTTATTTGCATTTTTTTACAATAAAAAGGAATGTAGATATAGATATGTCAGATTCAATCAAGCTCTTTTAGTCAGTATATACAAATGTTGGTAGAGTAAATTAGAAATATGGACATTTACTCTACATGAGGCCAACCCAGCTCAGGCTGCCCATGACAACAGGGCATACCACCAACAGCCCGTCCAGTTGAATGGACATGAGGTACAGGGGCTATGAGACGCGGGGGCCACTTTGACCAAACTATGATAAAATAATTCTTAATCTTAGAATGGCAGTCAGATATCTCCTTGGATCAAGAAGCTATTACCCCACTAATTAATATTTATATCCCTGAATATTATGTTTATTCAATTGCTGTCTAAATATCTGTATGGACTCTGATAAAACCACTTTTTTGGGTAGATAACTCCACATCTTTATTTTTCTTACTGTAAAAAAAAAAGCTGAGTTGATATATTTGCAAGCCTTACAGGACCAACATTTGTAAATGCCCTTCGCCTGTGTCAGCCAACCTGACTATTAGGCTTTTTGGGTTAAGGGGTGCCCACGAAGGCTACTTAGTGCTTAGTATTTCCCCCCTGCCCAATTTATCGTCAGTTACCTCTATCTCTGACCCAGGATATAATACTTTATTTATCCTACAGTTCTGTCCGTTACACTTACTTATTCTCGGTAATCACACCATATTATTTAAGCCCAAAAACCGGACAGGATCTCACTTTAACACCAGACAGTATCCTGTGAGGTCAGTTCTGTACGTCTCACTGTTTTATTGGTAATCACACCATATTATCTAAGACCCAAATCCTGGCAGGACCTCACTTTGACATTAGACTGTATCCTGTGAGGTCAGTATAGCCTCACAGCGGATACTTTGATGCCACATATCCAGACAACTTAGTATCAAGTAGTGTGTGGTAATCTACTTTGCAAACATCACTATTTCTTCTAACATTTTGCAATTATTAGTTGTAAGTCTGATGTCTCGCCGCGGCGAGCTCCGGTCAGCTGACACATCCCGGCCAATCTCCAGCAGACCCTCCCTCCCAGACCCTCCCACCTCCTGGACAGCATCCATGTTAAAGCTTCAACATGAAGCTTCAACATGAAGCTTCAACATGGATGCTGTCCAGGAGGTGGGAGGGTCTGGGAGGGAGTGTCTGCTGGAGATTGGCCGGGATGTGTCAGCCGACCGGAGCTCGCCACGAACCGCGACGAGCCGTTCGCGGGAAGTTCGCGAACGGTTCGCGACATCACTAATTATAGACTTATACAATACAAATATGAATTAACATTAATTTAATTTCCATTTTAAGAGACAGCAGAAAAATGCAAATGTTGTAGGTACTTCTGATTTCATGTGTATTACAGACTGCCATTTACATTTTAAGTAGATCCCCAATAATATCAACAGCACACTAACAGATATTGCCAGGTAAGAACATAGCTTACCTAGCAATTATTGTGGCCATTTCATGTCCTACACTAGAACACAACCAGGAACCAATTGTCCACATATATTAGCCACATTTAATTATTTTTTATTTTTAGGTAAATTTGAATTATATTCTCGTTTTTAATATATTTACCTTGTGATGACCCTTTCTTGATACTCATTTTTTAATGATGTGAATTAAAGTATCTCTAATAATGTAACAATAATATTGTTGCCTTGCAGATCAGTTATGGAGCAACAAAGTATGCTCTTAGTGATAAATATTTGTATCCACACTTTTTCCGGATGGTGCAAAATGACCATACTTATTACAAAATTTTATCCCGCCTTCTGAAACAGTTAAACTGGAATTGGATTGGAATTTTAACAACATATGATGATGCTGGAGAAACAGAGCAGCTAGCTTTTATGGAATACTTGTCCAATGATGGTATCTGTGTGTCATTCACCTTCAAATTGTCTGTCTATAAACTCACCATTAAAGAGAGTGAAGTACAGAGCATGTTATCCACTATTGAAAAGTCATCTGCTCAAATTATTGTACTTTGTGGATCATATGATATTGCAATTTTTTCAGTGATTTCTATGATACAGTCGTCAACCAAGAAAATGACAATAATTATCCCCCCATCCTGGTCCATAATTCATAATTCTAAACCAAATAAGTTTACTACATTACTTAATGGCAGTTTGGCATTAGAGGATTATTACATACCTTTACCAGAATATGGAGACTTCTTTGATAATATTAATCCCTCAAATCGTCCAAATGAATTCATTCTTTCTTATGTATGGATTACAGAATACCTTTTTCGTTATGAAGATCCATCAAATTGCACTAACATCTACTCTGATATCATTGCTGAGGACTATCTAACACAGGGAGCTTCTCCTCGAGTATATTACACAGTTCTTGCCATGGCTTCTGCCCTACATGAGATGCACATAGATCCTAATGAAAATTACATAGGTTATAATTACAGATATCAGGTAAACACAATGAAATTGCCTACTGCATATTACATTTAAAATACAAGTTTACATTTAATTAACTTTTGTACCAGGGGTTTGACAGCATTTCAAACAGACAACCTATGGGTTCACAGGGTTTCAATATATGAAAAGTCAATCAGCAAGCAATTATAAGTATAAATGACTCAAATTATCTCAAATATCCTTAATGCCCCAGAACTAGAGGGAATAAGATATTGTCTAATCAATTTAGTGAGTTATCTGCTAAACTGCTAAATTATCAAAATTAATAAAAGTCATTTTCTTGTGATCTGTTTAGCTGTTTTGTAGATAGCTCCCTAATTGTTATCCTTACCTGGAATTGCCAAAAGCATATTACCAAATAAGCGAGCTATCTGCTAAATAGCTAATTTGGTATCCTTAAAATGGTAAACAAATGTAAAGACACCTACTAAATAGCTTAATAGATTATCTTCTAATTTACTTAATTTTGATCTTTCCCCTTGCAAGGTAAGATGAGGGAAAGGGGAATATTCATTTTTTAAAAAAAAACTATTATTAAAATAAAAATTGTAAAGCTTTTCCCTATCCCACTCTCTACACCCCCTGCACACAGTACACTCTCACAGACAGTGAACCCCCCACATACAGTACACTCCACCATCACAGAGTACACCTTTGCATACACACACAGTGCACCCCTCACACACATTATCTCTTCATCCACATACATACTTCTTTCCCAAATACCTTCACCTCCACACACACACATGCTCCACCCCATTACACACCAAATCTCATATATATATATATATATATATATATATATATATATATATATATATATATATATATAATAAATACAGCTCCTTGATAAGCACACAATGCAACCCCAATACACATACACTCACAATGCAGCCCCTAGATGCACACGCACATACTTTACAGGCCCTTGCAGAGCACACACATTTTCCCACACACCCACAAATTGCTATTTTTATTTTAATCTAAATCCACCCAGACTTTGGGAGAGCTGAGTGGATCTTTCCCTGGCGTCCAGTGTGTCTCCTCTCAGTTTTCCTGCAGTTTCACTGTGCTCCTCTGCGCTCTCTCTGTAGTGATGCCGGGGCCAGAGTGACGTCATGTCACTAAACAGCGCGCAAGGGAGCAGAGAGGAACTGCAGGAAGGTTGCTGCTCCTTCTCATTTTAATGTTTCCTGCGTGGCTTAGAGCTGACAAATGCCAGGCTCCAGGGAGAAATGTCTAGTCGCCGTGGCAACCTGGCGCCTGGAACTTGTCGAGCCCTGTGTATGTATGTGTGTGTATATATATATATATATATATATATATATATATATATAGAGAGATAACGGACCACCTGGCACCCCAAATGGGTACCTCCACCAATCGCTGCTTCCTAGCTGTCGCCGAGTTCCATAAGCACCGCACTGGACACCATAAGCATCATAGCCCCTTAGCCGCCGCAGCTTGGCTGGGGTCTAGCAGGTATAGCAGTGTATCTCTTACAATAGCTAGTGATTATAGCAATCCAAAGAACAATCCCAAGAGCAGGGATTATAGCTGGTATCGCTTTCCCCTACAAGCACAAGATGAGACTCTGTGTTGAGGGTAAACTGGAGCTGCTTTATTAATAGCCACAACTGGCCTTATATGAAGGTCCCCATGCAAGGGGTTTACTTTAACATATAACAGGGGCACTCCCCACTGGACCTAAGAGTAGACTATGACAAAGTACATACTGTATTTACATTGGCTCTCAGGTCCAGGACACTCCCACACAAAACAGGATAATCCCTCTCCTGTGCCTTGGGTCAAGAACTGTATTAAACTCAATTATGTCCAGACACAGAAAACATTAATTTTTGCATAACCTCAAAAATACCTTTAAACACACAAAACCCCTGGGTGACCAACATATCCGAAAATCACCCAGATTGGTTCAGGGGTTCAGGAATTTCCTGGAAGTCATAATTTGACCGACCGCATGCATGGTCCCATGCCCAAAACAGTTCCAGAGAATCAGGGCTTGCGGTCTATCTAATTCGGTAGTTTTAAAACCAAACAAACTAACGAAAATAGTCAATGTTTTTACCTTGCAGCTTGTTAGTGCCCTTATAAGTTGTGTGGAACCGAACGCAGAAAATCCTGGAAGTCCAGCGGTGTTCGGGAGTTTCAGTGTCCGAAAAGAGTTCCATGAACTTGATGACCAAACACTGCTGCCTGCGTTCACGGGAACAACATGGCCGCCACCTCGTGGACATTCATGTGAACAGTGGCCACCCAGACAAACTATAAGAACACTGCAGTGAGAAGTGTTATAAACTGTCAATTAGGCTTAAAAAGCTCCCGGTTGGTTCGTGCGCCTGTTTGGTTCCTGAACCAAACATAAAATCCCATGTGTAACGGAATGGGCTATATTTCAGTACCCCTTTTTGGTGCTAGAAGCTGTCCATACCGCTGTGTGTGTATTTCATTCTGTTATATTGTATCCCTCCATTGCAACACTGGGTTCCTGTGTAATTTTGTGTATTTGTTCAGTACTAACACCAGTTATATTGGATTCCCCTATATCGTTCGCCAAACAAAGTACTGAACAACCCAGCCACCCATGAGGGGAGTGTGGCACCAATTGACCCTATTAACCTTCACCATACCTGGTTAACCACAAATGCCAGAGACCCTGTGTGATAGACTTGGGTGTTTAGCACTTACTTAGGCATTGGAGTTTGTTATGATTTATGATTTACATTTTTTCTTCTATGCCTATCTAGTAAGTCTCACAAGGAGAGAGGCTTTCTTTATTTTATTTTACTTTATCCGTCTGTCTACGTTTGATTATTAGGGCTGCCAATCTTTTAGACAGTGACCTTTCTCCCTTTGTCACTTTTTCTGGTGCTTAGGTACTAAGTGAAGATTTACTAACACTGTATGCATTAAAGGCCCAGGACTAATAAAGCCTATATGTATATTGCAGACTTAGGTGTTTAGTAACCTTATCCCCTCAATTACTTAGACATTGGAGTAGCCTTATACGGCTAGTTCGGTATTTATTATTATTTGGAGTTAGCTTAATTTTGTGCTGATACTTTCTGTTACGTCAGATATTTAGTGGTCTCCCTCTGGTTACATTGTTCCATACCACTGGATGCTTTGGTGCCTACGTTTTTATCTCCAGTTAGCATTATATTCAGTTTGTGAATTTTTGCTTTTTTCGTTTCTGTTAATATCCATTTTATGCTTATCAAATCAGGGCATATCCACTAAGCACTGACCCTTGTTTTAGGCATTTTAGATTATTGAAATTTGGCGACATTTTGTATGTATTATTATTTGTTATTGTTAAAATATTATTTTCAGTATTTGTATTTTTGTGCTCTCTTACTTTAAATGTAATTATGCATTTTTTTTATTTATGTTCATTATTACCTCAATACAATTCTTTATTTTATAATATTGCAAATTTCTTTCTTTTTTCTTAACTCCCCTTTGTAGACCCTCTTTTTCTATTGGAAAAAGGGGATTTGAGAATGTTTTTATATATCACAGAGAGGACCTATACCTTTTGCAAATCAGACTGATTCTTCCCATAAGGGCAGTGAAGATCAGAAATACTGGCACGTTTCCTCTGAATGAGAGAAACAGCAACCCCGGACAATCGTTTCACCCTTCTCAGGGCCTCATCAGTGAGCTGATATCCTTCTAGGCACAGTGAGAATGGGGTCTGTGTCTGAATTGCCCTA